GAAAGTATATAATCAGCCACTCCTCATAACCCCACTGTGGGTCCTGTCCCTGTGCTTTAATAAAACCACCCTTTTGCACCAAAAATGTCTCAAGAATTCTTTCTTGACTGCTTGCTCCCAAATCCCAACATTTTTACATCATTTTGGCATCCAAACATCCAGCTGGAGTCTTCTCATCTAGATTCCATGTCTCGGTACAAACTTGGTAAGTGTGTTCTCTCCTCTTCCTTTACTTTCATTCCAGGGGATTTTAAAGGAGTACTGTCTTATTGGTACACTTTCATGTCAGTTTCTCAGGCTGCAATCCTCTGGCCCACGTTTACTCCATGGGAAGGAGAAAGCCTGCCTCTCCTAGCTGGAATTTAATACCCTGGTCAGAATAGTAATAAGACCCAGAAGCTTGATGCCCTCTCTTTATTGCTGTCATTATACAAAGTTGTCTGTCTTGGGCATGGAACAGCCACCTAAGTCACCAGGACAGCTGCCAACCTTAAGACTCCTGTGTGAGTGTTCCTCCTCATTGGTCTAATGTAATCTGCTCCACATCTCTGGTCTAGCCACTTCTGACCACAAGACCTCCACTCAGAGCCAGTAAAAACCAACATTCAACTGAATAAATCTCAATCAGGAACCATTTCCTAGGGAAGTTGATTGTAAAGACTACTTGTGTTAAAATGTTACTTAGACCATGATGGATTTCAATCTCTACTGTTTTCCATCAATGTCTCCTATTAACTACTTAAATTAAAAAATTAAGCAACTTCCAATTGTAGAACTTTTCTAGTATTTTCCATGGGTTAAAAATGACAAGTTCTTCACAGCACAGTCTTCAGAGCACCATGAGGCAAGGCAACAGCACAGCAAGGCAAGGCCTTCTTTAGTTCCCAAAGACCCTAGCTTGGAATGCCTTTTAATCCACTGGAAATAATTCAGATTGCAAAATTTAAGAAAGGACTAATCTTCTGTAACACTGGATGGCTTCAGTATGAACTATTAGTTAGATCTCATCTGTAGGAAATAGGGCAAATGGACACAAATATACTGGGTCCAGGCCTTCATGGCTCTCAATCTGAATCCAGACCTAAGGGCCTCATGTGGAAAGCATGTTTGGTCACTAACCAGGCCAGTAAACTCCATCCTGATATATTGTCTAAATGGGCCTCCTGCTGACTGAACTCATGTTGCTGGAGGAAACACAGGCCATCCCTAATGAAGGGGGCAAGGATGTTCCCTTTTCCACTGTTCCTTCTCCTAATAGATGTGGGTGATTCTTCCTCATTCATTTCCTGGTTTAATGCTTGTTAACCAACCAACTGTGGTTGTCTCCCTCAGGATGAGGACTTTAAGGAATATTCCCAAGCAACTGCCACAACTCCTTTTTGTTTCAGAGACATTCCCTGTCTTCTCTGGCCAAACATGGACTGTATATTTCCACTTTATTGGAAAAAAGCCTGGCCACTGCTTGTCTGTCTGAGCTGACCAGAACAAGGAATCCTCTTTCTTTGTCTTCTGGCAGCACATCCCCTCTTCTGCCTTCCCCATTCCACTTTTCCTATTTCTGCACCACCTTTGGTGTGGTGTGTATAACAGGTTCCTACACCAGCCTGAGTGCCTCTGGTGCCATTGGCATCTCCTCCTTCTAACCCTGCTATAAAGGAGCAAAGAGCTCCCCCTTGGACTTACACTGCCCACTTCAGATATCCCCACCAGTGCCCCAGGTAAAAATTAACAATGGGGAACAAATTGATGGGCTTTCAAGTGGACCCAGGTAGAACATAACTCAATATTTAAACTAATTTAAGCTTGTTGGTTTAATTAAGATAGACATGTCTTTGAAGTCATCAGCATTAAATATGAAACTTTTTGTTCCACCAAGGTGTACTGAAGGTCAAATAAGCTCATATTATGTTTGTTGCAATTTGTTAGCAAAAAGATGACTTAAAATGATGGTTAATTTTCTCGGTCTCAAATTCTTTGTGAGTAATGGCTAAGAAGCTTTCAAAGTCTTTGGTAGCCAGAAACTTTAAAGTTTTCCTTGGGTGATAAATTGGGATTGAATTCATTGGACATTTTAGGTATTTTCCAAGTAGGATGTGCTTTTGACTTCTTATTGCAAGGAAACTAAAGATAATTGGGCCTGTTGGAAGATTATTTGTGCTTAATTGATTCATAAATTTGTCATCTAAAGAATTCTGGACTAACAATACACAATTGGTTACTACTTAGTTTTCACTGGAGACTAAGGTTTCTAAAAGTTAAGACTGATGGAAATAAGGAAAGCAACTCAGCATGTAGGAAAGTAGGAGATGCATGAGAAATAGGAACACATTTTTTGAAGGTAAATAGTCATTTTGTCCTAAAATGAGATTGGTTATTTGGAGAGAAATGGCTTGAGACAAAATATGAATGCAAAAGAAAGTTGTAGAAGGTTTGTGAAGGGAAATCTTTGGAAATATATATTTTTTGTGTGGCCAGGATGGACTAAGGTTAAAATGAATGGGTTTTAAAAATACACTGTTATAAAACTGGAATTCTGCTTTCTCTCTGTTAAAGAGACAAAGTTTTGGGGTGTCTGGGTGGCTCAGTGGGTTAAGTCTCTGCCTTTGGCTCAGGTCATGATCTCAGGGTCCTGGGATTGAGTCCCATGTCCGGCTCTGTGCTCCGCAGGGAGCCTGCTTCCCCCTCTCTCTCTGCCTGCCTCTCTGCCTGCTTATGATCTCTCTCTCTCTCTCTGTCAAATTAAAAAAAAAAAAGTTTTCTTGGATTGTCGGTCTGCTCTAAGAAGAAAACAGAAACAAAGCTTTCTGTTTGTCGATCCAGAAAAAAACAGTTTCTATGTTTTATTTTTATCAGGCTTTTAATGATAAAATGATAAATGATAAAATGATCTGTAACCCCTAATTATGAATTGCTTTAAAATATTCTAAGGTTTTGGGGCACCTGGGTGGCTCAGTGGGTTAAGCCGCTGCCTTCAGCTCGGGTCATGATCTCAGGGTCCTGGGATCAAGTCCCGCATCGGGCTCTCTGCTCAGCAGGGAGCCTGCTTCCCTCTCTCTCTCTCTCTCTCTCTGCCTGCCTCTCTGTCTACTTGTGATCTCTCTCTGTCAAATAAATAAATAAAATCTTTAAAAAAAAATATTCTAAGGTTTCAACAAACTTCCCCAAGATTTAAATTATAAACAAAGTCTCTGACTAATTAGTCTTGCTTGTTTGGTAAGTCACTTTCTGGTATAAGATCATCAGTCAATATTCTGATTATTGAAGTGTTACGTGTCATGGAAATAACTGAATTTTCTTGTCAGCTACATCATATGAACTCTATATCAGATCATTAACAGTGTCCATTTCTAAGTTTTTATTCTTTATGACTGTTCTGATGCTCTTGTGAAATGTGCTTCATCTTTAAGAAGATTTATTAAAAGGACTTTAGGAAAATACAGGTATTTGGCATCTTTGAGATCCTAAAACTCAAAGAAATGGGTAAGAATGTCAGAACTAAATAAAAAGCTACATTCAAACTGAGTAAGAATTAGTAACATGGGACTAAATGAACCAAAGAAGAGGATTATAGTTTTGTGACTCTTGTTTGAAACACTGCTGGTTCTCTAATGTTTGTTTTTCCAGATTAAAGAAACTTCCTCTTAAGATATCTATGACTTACAGAAATGTGATAAAATATTCCTTGAATGAATCAAAGTGTTAAACATTTCTCTCTACCTGAATCCTCTGAAGTTCAAAAAGTCTCTGTAAGTATTCTTTCTTTCATGGCAATCATAGTTGTTTGCATAAGTTCAATAAGAATCTGTTCTCCTTGTAATAGGACACCATTGGAGACATTGGTTATTTTACCAAGGTTTGACTAGAATGTCATATATGAGAAACACATACATAGACTCAGATATGACCAGACAGCTTTAAGGAATTGAGATTGACTATGTGAAACACAGAGCCACAAAATACCTTCAGAAATCTTGGCCTGATACTTTGCTTACCGAGTTCCCAGCAGCCTTACCAGGTAAAGAAAGAATGTCACTTCCTGGCAGGTGCAGGAATGTCAGCATGCTTTTGGAAACTTGAGAAGATGAATTCACCCAAATCTATAGGTATTGCAGGCATGTCTCATGGCAAGTGTTTAGCTTGGTTTCTGGCCTAAAGACACTACTAAAAGTTCAATCTAGATTCCTTATGAAGAGTTCCAGCAAAGCAAATTTTGAAAGTTCTATATGGCCAATGACAATTCTCCCTGAGCTCAGGGAACTAATTAGGCCAACTATGTTAAAAATTCGGCTTGTTTTACAAGCAGATTTGTTTCAATTTGGCTATCTCTGGAAATAAGGGTGATTCTAGAGAGAAAAATTATGTTTCAGTAATGCATTTTAAGGATGTTAAATTCTAGTTCTGATTAACTTTGAGTATTTGTTGTTTGCCTAAGCTAGACAACTTGAGGTAAATTTCAGAGAAATTGCAATGATAGCTCATGTATAGACAGTTTTCATGTTTGTTATTTTGTGGGGATAGTAACACGATCCCATGAGCATATGACTATTTGAACAACTGGAAAAATGGGATGAATTTTCTCCTCAATAATTTTGTAACTCAAGTAGCACCTTGACCAATTCTGTGTGGCTTGAATAACAAAATCACTCCTTAAAATCCAAAGGACAACCACTCCATAAGATTAACTATGGACTTATGTAAATAATGGTCAACCCTCTTTCTTTATGCTTGTATTGGGTGTTACACTTGGGGATACCCATATACCCAGACAAGTGTTCTCTCACTTGCCAGTGAATCCTCATAATTAGGAAATTGTTAAGGCTAAACATCAAATGGTTTTATCCCTTTTTTTTTTTTTTTTGTATTTGTCCCAGGAGCTGCCTCTTATGATGTAAAATTGCAAATAGAGGCCTTAGCCAGGCATACAGTGACTATCTTGGACTAAGCTAGACATGTAGTCACACACAAATTCAGAAGATGACCCTCTAAAACCAAATGGTCCCTGATATCCTGACTGCAGCTCAAGGAGGAACCTATGCTTTATTAAAACAAAGTTTTGTGTATATACCTCAGATGACCACAAACATGTGCCAGGATTCTATGAATACCCAAAGGTGGGTAGGTGCTTTAAATAATCTCTCTTTTTCCTTTAGTGATTGTTTAAACTCCTAGATTGGAAGAGGATTTTTGTCAACTGACTCTGATTTGTGTTTCTTTTTCTTTTTGTTACTCTCATCATGTTTTGCTGTTTTCTCCCCTGTTTCTCCACTTGGTGCCCAGACTCCATCACTGCCACATCTTCAAGCCAACAGGTGATCCTTTGTACTGAGGGAAATTTTATATATGTTTTCTCCTTTGGATTCAGCTGCTTCTGTCTTTCATAACTCCTATACATATAAGTCCCTGACTGATCAATGTTGACCCATAGGCAGGGACATCTCTATGTCCCTATTCAGCAGGAAGAAGTTCTAGAAGATGAGACCTTCCACTCTCAGCAACCTTGAAGATTTAAGGGTCAAAATTATTCAGAGGAGAATGATGTGGAGAACAAAGGAAAGAATAAATAAATTTTCCTTGCAGTCCATTCACAAGTACTTGAGCTATCTCAAGTAATTTTCCTTGAGGAGCTTAGCTACTTCAACGGTAATACTTAGCTAAAAGCAAAAGACAACTTCAGCTTGACACTAGCCCAGCATCCAGAATCCTATTAAAAATCTCTTTGGAAAAAAAAAAAATCCCTTTGGAAACTTCCTTTCTCTCTATCCCCCCAAGATAAATGTTTGTAATCATCCCCCAAATATACGACCCACTGATACACCTCTGAAGGGTCTCAGGATTGTAAGGTTTACGAGACAGTAGTAAATGACCTTATCCTAATGAGAGCTAGCCCCTCAAGATCCTAGAAACCTTGCTTTCAAATTCCTTAAAGACTGTGCTATCCCTAACTGCCTCCTAACTTGAAAGTATATAATCAGCCACTCCTCCCGACCTCAGGGCATCTCTTTCTGCCCATGGGTCCTGTCCCTATTCTTTAGTAAAACCACACTTTTTGCACCAAAGATGACTCAGGAATTCTTTCTTGACTGTTTGTTCCCAAACCCCAACATTTTCACAACATTGGCATTTTGCTACTGTTTCTTCCTCTTTTATTTATTTGTTTGTTTTTTTTGGTATAACACATACAAAGCCATATGAATAAAGGGAAATAAACAAAAAGCAGAATCATACCTATATATACAGAGAACTAACTGATGGTTTCCAGAAGGGAGGGGTGTGGAGTTTGAAAAAATAGGTGAAGGGAAGGGGGAGATACATGCTTCCAGTTTGGCAAGAATAAGTCACAGGAATAAAATGCACACCATAAGGAATATAGTCAATGATATTGTAACAGTGTTTCAGGATTTATTTTCCTTCGCTGCCTGTAGTTCTTGGTCAGGTGGCTTTGAAGAATGAAGAGGTAGACCAGGAGAAGAGTGGTGGGCTGCAAAGTTTACTGAGAGATAGTACAAAGCTCCTGAAGAGGGAGGGGGCCTGAGATAGTTCCCATTAGGGCTTCTAAGTCTAGGGGTTTTTAGGAGAATGTTGGCAGGCTGTTTTAATCTGATTAAGCTTCCCTGTACCTGTCACCCAATTCAGTTTTTGTCCACTGCTTATCTACCTATCAGGTAGTTGTTCAGGTGGGAAAAGGTGGAGGTGTCCTTCCAGGATGATGTAGAGTAACAGGATGGGTTCCTTTTCCTTTTAAAGATAGTTTCCTCTTAGGATGGGGGTCCTTTGCCCCTGCCTGCCTTACTTGCTACTATGCTCCATTAATAGTGATATATCAGGACAGATGGCAGTTACACTTGTGGTGAACACAGCATAATGTATAAACTTGTCAAATCACTATGCTGTACACCTAAAACTAATGTAACATTGCATGTCAGCTATACTCAAATAAAAAATTAAAAAAATAAATTTAAAAAAAAAGTAGATAAGGGATACCATTTGCTTTTTGACCTAGCGTGGATAATATTATATTACTTGATGACAGGAAGAATACAGAATTACTCTACCTTTTTGTTGTCATTGTTCCATGTTCTCTAACATGGAAAATAATCAAGTTGAAAAGGTACAGAGTGGTAAGAAATAGTGTGATATAATTTTTTAAGAAATGGTCCATGGAGTTAAACAAAATGAATTTGAATCCAGATTCTTTTCTCATGCGTTACATGATTTCATACAACTTATTTGTTTTGAGTCTTGCTTGATGATAGCAATGTTTCCATTCCCAGAGGATTAAGAGTATTATGAGATAATGTGTGAAAGGCACTTTGACGCAGTAACAGCGTAATATATGGTAAGTAATAGAGGACAGAAGCCCCAAAGAGGTATGAGAACATCTAAGAATCCTAACTATGACAATCTTTCAAAGTCTAGAAGAATCACATCCCAGTGTACTGAGATAATTTATAAGAGCAATAATGATGTTATTGTCGGTAACCTTTGAGAAGTCACAGCAAATGATAGATTGCTAGACTGTTGCCCCAATTTTTAAGAAAGAGGGAAAAGAGGATTCATAAAATTTAGTAATTCCAACCAGCCTGCTAGATGTTTTAATCCCCAGGGACATTCCAGATTCATTATGGATTATGAAACAGAGAGTCTATTTGTAATTGTAGAAAGGAAGTTGTGATTGCTGAAACCAGCATTTAGTCAAGTGCAAGTCACACTGAAAGCAACAAGATTTTCCTTTTTGTGGAGGGGCTGAAAGACTAATCAGAGAAATGCCAAAATGCCACAGACATGGCATATCTGCATTTCAACAGGGCACGTGGCAAAGGTTTTATGAAGCTTTAATATGCTAGTATGCATTATGACTATCAGAGAAATCTACTGAACCCAATTTTTTTTTTGTAAAGCCGCAAGTAACATCTGAAAGAACTTGGGTTGGGCGGAACATCATTGGGAAATATTAGTTTAGTCTAACCTGTACCCTAACAATCTGTACCGGTTAGGCAATTTTTGGGATATTGTGTTTATTTGCAGACACCAATTTTTTAAAGAATCCCTGACAAACTAGTATGTCCAAAGGAAGAAACTAGCATAATGGATTATATAAAGCTATATTGGAAATGAAATAATTAGTAACTGTCATGGATCAAGTATCTGAGGACTCACCAAATCATATGTTGAAACCTTAACCCCCAACGTTATGGTATTAGGAGGTGGGGGGCCTTTGAAGAGTGATTAGGTCATGAGTATAGAGCCCTCATGAACAGGATCGGTGCTCTTATAAAAGATTCCAGAGAATTTCCTTGTCCTTTCTGACATGTGAAGAGGCAGTTAGAAGATGTCTGTTTAAGAACCAGAAAATGAGCCTTCCCCAGATCCCGAATCTGCCAGCACCTACAGATTTTGACTGGAATGTCATATATGAGAAACACACACATAGACTCAGATATGCAGAATTCTGAGAAATAAATGCTTGCTTCTTAAGCTATTTAGTGTATAACATTTTTGTGATAGCAGTCCAAATAGACTAAGAATTATGGAATTAGGAAAGAGATATCTTTAGGAGTAGAGCTAACCTATGAACCAATTTCAAATTTTTCAATAGGTGTTGTATGGGGAAGAAATTAGAATCATTCCATGTAGATTAAGTAGCCAGACATAGGAATACCATGTACAAGTTATAAGGAGGCAGATTTGGGCTGAACATAGAGTTTGCGACAGCACTGGTTTGGGAATCTGACAGAGGAGAATTATATTCCCAGTTCTGTCCCTTCCTTACTAGGCATCCTTGAGCAAAGGATCCAACCTCTTGGGAATTCTGTTTTCTCATCTGTCATATAGGCAAGCCCACAGAGCTACTGCAAAGTAAAAATCCTACACTAGAATAGAAAAGACCCGTACAACTCCGGGCCCATAATAAGAACTCAGTAAGTGGAATTACAGTTTTATTATTAACAGTTAGAACCAGGCATGTAAAGGAGAAGACTATCTGACAGTGGAGAGTATCTCAATACTGAAAGTGATCAAGCACAATTTTAATCTTTTAAAATAACTGAAAGCCTACTGTGCACAGTTGTGACTCAGTCCGTCTTTATTAGCTGGCAATCACATAGGGACTTGGGGGGGAGAGAAGGCAGGTTCATTAACAGACCATAACACAAGGACAAATGCCATCAAAATTGTAAGAGGCTCAGAAACTAAGAGCACAGTGCTAAGCCTTTCGAGGCAAATATGGAAGGCTTAATGGAAGTGGTAGCACATGAGGAGTGGGAACATTTTTGGTGGGCGGGGTAAAAGGAGAAGCAGGGCATTAGTCAAGGGGGGCTACTGCATGGAGAAGCTGTGGGCAGGAAAGCACGGGGATATATCCAGAGAAGTAGCACAGTTTGAAGGCATGCACTAGCCAGGCTTAAAGGAAAATGAAACACAAGTCTGGATGATTTGGGGTGGGAGAGTCAAAGAATGAGCTTTGGACTTAACTTGGGTAATGGTGGGGAGACAGTACACATGTGAGGGGAGAGGAGTGACTTTATCATTACTGTGCTTTAGAAGACTGAATTTGGCAGTGGCGATACAATTGGCTAGGATCTGTGTGACTCCTAAGATCGGGAGGTCAGTATGGAAATGGCGCAGTAGGTGAAAAAAAAAAGGAGACTCTCAAGTAGGATAGAGGCAATGAGAAGAGGGAAGAAATCCCAAATGAGAAATGAATGAAGAACAGACTGTTGAGGAAGATTTGGCAATGGGCCAGGTGATAGTCTCAGGAGAAGAGTGAGTTCTAGTTAGAAGTAGGTTTTAGTAGGAACTTTTGAAGGTAAGGTCAATGTCATTTCTTCACAACCGAGTATCACGCAGTATACCCTTACTAAATATTTGTTCAGGAGATGAATATGTGAATGAATGACTTGGATTAGATCTAAAGGGAAGAGTGGGAGATTGTAATGAAGAACCAGAAGCTTGTGAGAGTCAGTTTGAGGAAGAACCAGGCTGGGTGGATAGACACACGAGTTAAGGAGCATATGTCTGTCTGTCTATATGCAGTCCCCGGAGCTAAGTTAGGGCTGGTGGGCCAAATCCAGCCCAGCATCTTGTTTTTCATCCAACCCATGAGCTAAGAATAACTGTTACTTCTTTCAATGACTGGAGAAAATCCAGAGAAGAATAGTATTTCATGACATGTGAAATGATACGAAACTCAGCTTCAGTGTCTGTAAGTAAAATGGCAACTTTTGTTGTTTTCTTATTACAGAGGGGACTGACCTGCCCCTTACATGAGCAGTAACAATGTGCTAATCATGATATAAAAGAATCCAGGAGAACTCTCACTACAACCCCACGAGATTTAATTCATTGTTCCCATTTTACTGATGAGCAAACAGAAAGTTCTGTTTCAGCCAAGGTCACACAGTTTCACACTACACCCACATCAATCTGCTCTTCCAGATTTCCCATTTTCTCCTAAGGTAAAGGCACAGCTCCAAGAGTAGTGTGACCACGAAGTGCTTATAAAAGAGGGTTTGGGAGTGTTGAATGCTTGGAGGGCAGTTTTGGAACTGAATCAGAGCATGGGAATGGCTTAGGCAGACACACTTCTAAGAGATGTATAGGAACTAGCTCATTAATTCTTATAACCTTTCCTGAGATAGATACTGTTATTAACATCCTAAGCTGGAGGAGTGATTTTCTTTTCTTTTCTTTCTTTCTTTTTTTTTTTTTTTTAAAGATCTTATTCATTTATTTTGAGAGAGTGTGAGAGAGATAGAGCGCACAATCAGGGAAGAGGAGAGGGGAGCCAAGGGAGATAGGGAAGTAGATTCCCTGCTAAACAAGGAGTCTGATTCTGGGCTGGTTTCCAGGACCTTGGGATCATGACCTGAGCCAAGACAAACACTTAACTGACTGAGTCACCCAGGTGCCCTGGGAGTGGTCTTTTTAAACACCATGTCCTGGGTAAAAAGTCCAGCATGTAGATATTCTAACTCTTTGGGTCTTTGGTGACAACGCTGGGCCACCAGAAGCTCAGTCAACCCTAGGTATCTAAGGTCCAATGCTCAGAAGTACTTGGGGAATTCCTACAGACTCAGCTGGCTTTACCCTTTCTCCCGCATTTGTGCCCAGAGAGTGTTCTCTCATTCCCTTCACTGCCCCCAGCAGGCTTCTCAGACCTTCTAGTTAATAGCTCCTTCCCCAGGGTTTATGCTAAAGAGACTTCCTGAATCACAACAGCATTTGAAGAGAGGCAGTGCAGAAGTGTAAAGTTCAAGTACTGAGCAGGGGGAAGGCAAGAAGTTCTCCTATAGAAAGCACGGAGGCAGGTGGAGGAAATCTGTCAAAGATTTCAACTCGGGTAGATTTCTGAAAATGGTCTTTAGCCCTTTACATGGGTGTTTATCTCTGTGTTTGTCGCCTTTCACCCTTAAAGCCACCACTATACCACTTGGAATTTATGTCTGGCTGCTGCTCACAAACAGGGTATAATTAGAATCCAGTCTGTGTTTTCGACTTTCTGAACTCCAGGCGTTAACAAACAAGTTGTAGCAGTGGATTTATTGCTTTACTTTCCCACCTCCCTTTCTTACAAAACAACAGTGTAAGGGTTAAAGTAGCCGCCAAAGTCCTGTACAAATGACTGACGTAATAATGAGATTTGCACACCAGCCTTCAGTGCCTGTTAAATTCAAAGCAGGTTTTGGTGGGTTTTGTCTTGTGTTGTTTTGTTTTTGTTTTGGTTTTTTGTTTGTTTGTTTGTTTTTTGTTTTTCTTTTCTTTTCTTTTTTTTTTTTTTTTTTTTGGCGGGGGAGGGAGGGTAGGAGGGAAAGGGTGGTGTTGAAGAGAAAAAATAAGGAACTGGGAAGAAAAGGAGGGGAAGTTAAACTTCCTTCTCTGTCTTCCATCAGAAAAGCAAACATGGCATCTTCCATGAGGAGCTTGTTTTCTGACCACAACAGATACGTTGAATCTTTTCGGAGGTTTCTCAACAGTTCCACGGAACACCAGTGCATGCAGGAATTCATGGACAAGAAGCTGCCAGAAATAATAGCAAGGTAACAAAAAAGGACGTTTTTGTCAAAAAGACAAGCCTCCGGCTCCTTGTGTGCAATGATAGATGGGTCGAGCCCAGCCCTGCAGGCTGGGCGCCGGGATAAGAAGGAGCTACTGATAGCAGCTTCCACCCAGTCTTCCTCGACCCCCACCCCCCACCCCTGCGCCCCTTCTCCTGCCGTGCTTTAGTTAGACGCTCGCTTTCCATGTTCAAAGGCTCCGATTTGTGCAGGATTTCCAGCTGCGCGGAGATAAGCGTTAACCATTTGAAGGCACACATCCATGTTCATTTGGGAAAAGATGCAAATCTTTGAGCTCAGATTTTTCAGCCCTCCTCCAGATTTCGCGTTTCAAAAACGTACCAAATGCAGAATTTAGTATTCTTTTGATTAGAATAAAATATAAATAATTACCAAATACTGTTTATCCCTGTGGATTGAGGATGGGGTGCTTCTGGGTTCTCCTACTATCCATTTAAATTCACTTCCTTATCCATTCTTATAGTTATTCTCAAAAAAAAAAAAAAAAAAAACCAAAAAAAAAAAAAACACCAAACAACCGTCTTTTCCTTTCAACTTAATATTAGCAATGTGGTTCTTTAAAAAAAAAAAAAAAGGCATTTTCCCATTATCAGTGAAACTCACTAGTTCCTATCCTTCTTGCAGACTTTTTTTTTTTTTTTTTTTTTTTGGGTGATTAATGTGTTCAATTTGTGCCAGAGCTGATAAGCATTATGAGAGTAAAAGATTCCACATGCTAAAGATAATCAAATCACCTATCTGGGGGTGGATTGCTGTAACTTACTCTGCTTCAGGAAATAATGATAGAAAACTGGAAGAAATGACTGACTGTGGATCCAATTTGCAACAGCAAAGAAAACTGATATTTTATCTTTTGCTGGATTTCTCTATTGTAGGCTTGAAACTCACCCGGACAGTACCTCTGCCTGATGAAAGTAGGCATTGTTGGATGTGTGTGAAATTCCATTGCCCTTTATATTTTTCATGGTTCAGTTTTTAATTTTTTTAAATAGAGTGGTATATAATTTATTAATAATTAGTAAGTATTAGAACAATGATGCCAAAATCAAAGCATACCTCAAATACAGGTAACTTCTTATCTAGGAACTAATAATTTACTTCTTTGGGTCTTTTGTTCATTTCTAAAATTAAAGATTATAAGTTAATTTCTGAATTCTTTTGCAGTACTAAAGGTCTGTGTTCATGTCTGTAGCTCATCCAGACCCTTGGTTTTCTTTAGTCATCAGTGGTTCGAAGAGGCACAGTGAATGGATATAACATAATGAATGATGACCCCTATCTTCATGGTGTCCACAGTCTGCTTAGAAATATTGAATGTAGAATCTGTGAAAGACTGAAGAACTTTCAAAAGCATAACCAAATTAGCACTGCAGTGGTAAAAAAACAAAAAACTGGTTCCTAGCCCTATTTACTCCCCTCTCAGAAGCAACCACTTTCAACATTTTGAAGTATTTTAGTTGTTTCTTATGAAATTTTCTTTCCTAATTCTAAATAACATGTTATTCTTCTTTTTCTTAATTTTACTGTATTAAAATAGCTAAATAAACACATACATTTCCTTCCCTATCATATCAGTATATTTATGTCAAAATTTGGGGTTCAATAATTTGTTTATATCATTTTGCCTATGTACATATTATACATAATTGAATGATACATTATACTACAATCACATTTCCTTTCAGGTACTTTTTGTTTTTTTCCTAGAGTTAACTATTGTTTTGATTATAGTTTCTTTTCTTAGTTTTCAATATACCTGTCACTACTTGTACCCCAAGCAGAAGGATTAATCTTCTCTCAATATAATCCAACAAATCAAGTCATCTGTTAATTTTCCCCCATGGGAACATCTTTTCTGGAACTCTGTTCATCTTTTCCACTCTGGTGATTTGCTGGTGATCTGCCATACAATTATTGATAGAATTTATTTCACCTTCTAGAAATTCTCTTCTCCTCTCTGCAGTACTGAATACCCTGATTCTGGATCTCATGTCATTCTTTTCTTGATTTCTTTAGACTTTTATCATCCTCAACCTTGTCCTACCCCTCCCCGCCACTTCTTCTTGTCCTTTAAGGCTTCCAGAGAAAGAGTGCATGAAAAGTAAACTTCTTTGAGATTTTGTTATGTTTAAAAGTACCTTCAGTCTATGGTCATCTTTATTAGATAGCAATTGCTATCCTGAAATATTATATCAGAAATTTAAAGGTATTTTTTCATTTTCTTTTAGCAACTAGAGTTTCTATTGAGCAATCCAATGTCCTTCAAATTGTTCTTGTTTGGCTTGTGATCTTTTTGTTTTGTTTTGTTTTTGTTTTCCCTACTTAGACGTTTTAAGGATTTTCTGTCTAGTATTCTAAAATTTTAAGATGAGTTGTAGTGTGGGACTTTTTCACACATTTTATTTTTAAGATTTTATTTGTCAGAGAGAGAGGACAGCAGGGGGAGCAGCAGGCAGAGGGAGAAGCAGACTCCCCACTGAACAGGGAGTCCAAATCAGAACTCGATCCCAGGACCCTGGGATCATGAGCTGAGCTGAAGGCAGACGCTTAACCAACTGAGCCACCCTGGCATTCCTTTTTCACACATTTTTGTGGGTAGTCCCTGGGCCACTTCAATCAAGATTCTGATCTTTCATCTCAGGGAAATTTGGTATTATTTTATCATCCCTTCTCTCTGATTTTCTTTCTGGAATTTATATTCATCAAACACCAGACCTCCTGAATTAATTCCCTAATTTTCTTACATATCCAATTTTTACAATTTTATCTTATAGCCCTTCTATTAATTTTTTTACTATTATAGTTTTAATTTTCAAAAATGTTCTTTTTTATAGCCTGTTCATCTTTCACAGGTGTAATACCTTTTTTATCTATTATAAAATTTTCCTCTGCTCTCTGCATATTTCTTCTGAGTGCTCTTTTTCTGTTTCTTTTGGTCCCTCTCATGTTAGGGGAACTCCCTAGCTATCTGATGTGATTTGATTATCCATCCAATCAATAGTGAGACACTAAAAAAGTGTTCAGATCCTTTTTGTGTATGTAAGTGAGGTTTGAGTGGGTGACTCACTGCAGGAATTGGATGTGAATTCAGTTGTTTACTGAGAGATTCTCGGATGTCAGTATTTTAAGTTTATTCACTAAGATGGTTTGTTTCCATGGAGAAACAATCCCCATCTGGATGCAAAGTGTGGGGTGGGGAGGGTTCCAGTATATTGCTGTAAATAATAAATTGTGTTGCTGTTGTTATATGTTATACATTTATTATTATTTTTTAAAGATTTTACTTATTTATTTGATAGAAAGAGACTCAGCAAGAGAGGGAACACAAGCAGTGGGAGTGGGAGAGGGAGAAGCAGGCTTCCTGCTGGGGAAGGAGCCTGATTTGGGGCTCAATCCCAGGACTGTGGAATCATGACCTGAGCCGAAGGCAGACACTTAATGACTGAGCCACCCAGGCACCCCTATATGTTATACAGTTAGATCCCTGGCTGGAAAATAGTAAGTTTTCAATAATTATTCATCATAATATGTGAAATAGGTTCATAATCGTGTCTAATTCATAGAAAAATTGTGAAAATTCAAAGAGTGAAATCACTTAGTTGTGGCTGGACAATTGCTTGACAATTGCTGGACAATTAGCAATAACAATTCCTAATATATGTTGAGTGCTTGTCATGTGCAGACACATTTCTAAGAGATTTACGTGAATTAAATCACTTAATTCCCACAACTGTTTCTTAAACTAGATACTATTATTATAATTCTATACAATAGGTGGTATTATTATCCTATTTCATAGGTAGTAAAGATGCAGAGAAATTAAATAACTAGCTTAAGGTAATATATCGGTAGGCCATGGCTTCTACCTTGGTGCTGTGCTCCATGGCTTCACTATGCTATCTACAGATATAAAACCAAGACCAAGAATTAACCAAGACCATAGATAAGGATGGGTGTATTAGGACTATGATCATGAGTGGGAAGATAATTAGAACTAAGGAAGGCAATTCATTCATAGGTGTCCTTGAATCTATCCTTTGTGAACTTTGCTTCAATCTGTTTTTGTTGTACTACTCTGTCCAGGCTCTCTCACATCAGGGGAAAAAAAAGCAGCTGCAAAGCTAGAGTCCACATAAATACCACTCCCGGTTCCTGTTTTCCCTTTCCATTCTCACCTTTTTATTATAGTACAACAATCGCTAGATCTTATTTCTCTTTATTCAGCTCACTTTTAATCTCACTGCCATCTGACTTCTGCCCTCAACATTCTTTTTAAAACTATTATCAAAGATACTCATATTGCCAAATTCAATGGAGATGATTCCTCCTTTATTTTGTGGTAGTACACTCTGCTACTGTTAACGCTACTAATGGCTTTCTCTTTCTCTAATTCTATCCTCTCTGAGCTTTATTGTTTTCTTCTTTGTCCCCTTTGTGTGTTCCCCATAAACCAGTGACTTTTAAAAGTTGGCATTACATCATTATCCTACTACTTGTCTAATTCTTTGCAGAATGCTTGGGTGATAGAATCTAGTCTCCTAGTTAGACCAAAACTTTATGATGCTAACTCTCCAGAATACATCATTGACCAGATCTGTCTCCCACTCAGCTTAAATCTCGCATATCCAAATGTTTGTAGAATTCCGATTAAAAAGAAAAAAACAAAAAACAAGGCACCCTGACAAAACACAAACTTGCCTTCAAACTATATTCTCCAGCTTCTTTTTTTTCACCATATGCAGTCACCCAAGCTGGAAATTCTTTAGTCATAACACCCTTTTCCCTTTTATTAGCATCAATCAAAAGCAGTCCTACTGTTACCTCCCAGTAAATCAACCCCATTCCATTTCCAGTACTAGAACCATAATACTGAGCTCTATTTTTTTCTTTAGTTTTAATTGAAGTATAGTTGATATACAGCATTATTTCAGGTACAGAATGTAGTGATTCCACAATCATACACATTACAAAATGCTTACCACAGTAAGTATAATTACTATTTGTCACCATAAATTATTACAGTATTATTGACTATATTCCCATGCTTATTTATTTTATAACTGGATGTTTGTATCCTTTAAACCCCATGCCTATTTCACCCGTCACCTCACTCCCCTCCCTCTGAAAACCACGTTTATTTTCTATATTTATGAGTCTGCTTCTGTTTTTTGTTGTTGTTGTTGATGAAGCCTATCCGTTAGTTTTGTTTTTTAGATCTGACATATTTGTGAAATCATAAGGCATTTATCTTACTCCATCTGCTTTATTTCACTTAAAATACCCTCTAAGTCCATCCATGTTGTCACAAATGGCAAGATCTCATTTTTTAAATGGCTGAGTAATATTCCATTGTGTATATATATCACATATTTCTCCATTCATCTATTCATACTTAGGTTGCTTCCATATTTTGGCTTTTGTAAATAATGGTTCAATAAACATAGGGGAGCATATATCTTTATTTAGTGTTTTCCTTCTCTTTGGGTAAATACCCAAATGTGGAATTGCTAAATTGTGTGGTATTTTTATTGTTAATTTTTTAGGACTCTGTTTTCCATACTGTTTCCATACTGTTTTCCATAGTGGCTGAACCATTTTACATTCTGACCAGTGGTGTACCAGTGTTCCCCTTTCTTCACATCCTCACTGACACTTGCTATTTTTTGTCTTTTTGATACTACCCATTCTGACTGTTGTGAAGTAATATCTCACTATGGTTTTCATTTACACTGCCCTGACATTTAGTGATGTTAAGCATCTTTTCATGTGTCTGTTGGTCATCTGTATATCCTCTTGGGAAAAATGTCTATTTAGGTCCTCTAAGATTTTTAATTGGACTTTCTTTCTGTCTGTCTCTCTTTCCTTCTTTCTTTATTTCTGTTGAGTTGTAGGCATTCGTTATATATTTTAGATGTTAACCCTTTATGGGATATGTCATTGGCAAATATCTACTCCCATTCACTAGGTTGCCTTTTGTTTTGTTGGTGGTTTCTTTGCCATGCAAAAGCCTTTTAGTTTGATATACTCCCAACTGTTTATTTTTGCTTTTTGTTTCCCTTATCTGAGGAGACAGGTGAAATATCTTGTGAAGGCTAATGTCCTAGAGATTACTTACTATGTTTTCTTTTAGAATTTTTATGGTTTCATGTCTTGCATTCAGGTCTTTAATCCATTTTGAGTTTATTTTTCCTTATGGTATGAGAATGTGATCCAGTTTCATTCATTTGCATGTAGCTATCCAGTTTTCCCAGTAACATTTATTGAAGAGACTGTCCTTCACTTATTCTATTTTAAGATTTATTTGTTTGTTTTAAAGTGAGAGAGCATGAGTGAGTGGGGGACGGGCAGAGAGAGAATCTTTCAAGTAGACTCTCTGCTGAGCATGGAGCCTGACATGGAGCAAAATCTCATGACCCATGAGATTATGACCTGAGCTAAAACCAGGAGTCAGATGCTTAATCAACTAAGCCACCCAGAAACCCTCTCATTGTATATTCTTGACTCGGTTGTCATAGGTTAATTGAGAATATAAGTATGCATTTATTTCTGGGCTTATTATTCCATTCCATTGATCTATGTGTCTGTTTTTGTGCTAGTAGCATATATTTTTGATTATTATCACTTTGTAATATAGTTTGAAATCTGGGATTGTGATACCTCTAACTTTGTTGTTTTTTTCTCAAGATTTCTTTGGCTATTTGAGGTCTTTTGTGGTTTCCTACAAATTTAAGGATTATCTGTTCTAGTTCTGTGAAAAACACTATTGGTATTTTGAGCGAAATTGTATTAAATCTGTATATTGCTTTAGGTCATATGGACATTTTAACAATTTTAATTCTTCCAATCCATGAGCATGGTATATCTTTTCATTTATTTCTGTTCCTTTAATTTCTTTCATCAGTGTCCTATAGTTTTCAGAGGATAAATGCTTCACCTCCTTGTTTAAATTTATTCTGAGATATTTTATTCTTTTTTAATGCAATTGTAAATGGGATTGCTTTCTTATTTCTCTTTCTGCTAGTTTGTTACTAGTGTACAGAAATTGAACAGATTTTTATTAATTTTGGATCATGCAACTTCACTGAATTGATTTCATACTTCTAATAGTTTTTTAGTGCATCTTTAGGGTTTTGTACATAAAATTTCATATCATATCATAAAAGAGTGATAGTTCAACTTTTTCCTTAACAACATGGATGCCTTTCTTTTTCTTGTCTGATTGCTGTGGCTAGGACTTCAGTACTATGTTGAACAAAAGTGATAAGAGTGGACATCCTTATCTTGTTCCTGACCTTAGAGGAAAAGCTTTCAACTTTACACCAGAGTATAATGCTAGCTGTGGGTTTTTCCTGTATGGCCTTTGTTTTGTTAAGGTATGTTTCCTTTAAGCCCACTCTGTTCAGAGTTTTTAACATGAATAGATGTTCAATTTTGTCAAATGCTTTTTTGCATCTAATGAGATGATCATATGATTTTTGTCCTTCCTTTTGTTAATGTGGTATATCACATTGATTGATTAGCAGATATTGAATCATCCTTGTATCCAGTATCAATCCTATTTGACTGTGGTGAGTGATCCTTTTAATGTGTTGTTGAATTTGGTTTGCTAACATTTTGTTAAGAATTTATGCATCTATGTTGGATACTGGTCTGTAATTAAAAAAAAAAGTATTTTTATCTCATTTTGGTATCAGGGCAATGCTGGCCCCACAGAATGAATTGGGAAGCATTACTTCCTCTTCCATTTTTTGGAATAGTTTGGGGAATAATAGGTATTAACTCTTCTTTAAATATTTGGTAGAATTCTACTGTGAATCCATCTAGTCCTGGACTTTTGTTTGTTGGATTCAGTTTTGTCAATAGTAATCTGCCTGTTAAGATTTTTCTATTTATTCTTGATTCAGTCTTAGAAGATTATATTTTTCTAGGAATTTATCCATTTCTTCTATTTCTCAGTGTATAATTTGTTTGCATATAATTTTTCATAGTAGTTTTTTATAATCCTTTGTATTTCTGTGGTGTCAGTTGTAACTTCTCTTTCATTTATGATTTTATTTGAATCCTCTCTCCACTTTTCTTAATGAATCTGACTGAAGGTTTATGAATTGTTTAACTTTTCAAAGAACCAGCTCTTGGTTTCACTGATCTTTCCAATTGTTTTTTAAGTCTTGATTTCATTTATTTCCTCTCTGATATTTATTATTTCCTTCATTCTACTAACTTCAAGCTTCATTTATTCTTCTTCTAGTCCTTTATGTGTATGATTTGATTATTTATTTGAGATTTTTTCTTGTTTCTTAGGTAGACCTGTATCACTCTCAACTTCCCTTTTAGAATTGCTTTTGTTGCATCCCAAACATTTTGCACTGCTCTATTTCCAGTTTTATTTTTCTCCAGGTATTTAAAAAATTTTTTTCTCTTTGATTTTTTTAGTTGACCAATTGGTTTTTTAGTAGTGTGCTGTTTAGCCTCCATTTCCCCCCCCCTTTTTTCCCTTGTAATTGATTTCTAGTTTCATATTGTGATCTTTTCTGATGTTTGATGTAATTTCACTTCTCTTAAGTTTATTGATACAAGTTTTGTAAGCTAATGTGATCTGTCTTAGAGAATGGCTATGTGCACTTGAAAAAAAATGTGTATTCTGCTGTTTTTGAAAAGAATGTTCTGTATGTATCTATTAAGTCCATCTGTTCTCATGTATTGTTTAAAGCCACTGTTTGCTTATTAATTTCCTGCCAGGATGATCTATCTATTGATGTAAGTGGGATGAAAGTCCCCTACTATTATTGTATTACTGTTACTTCTTTATGTCTGATAATATTTGATTTATATATTTAGGTGCCTCTCTGTTCGGTGAATGAATATTACAATTGTTAATAATTGTTTTTGTAACTCTTCTCTTTTGTTTTGCTCTTGCTCTATTGCCAGGTGATTTGATGACTTTCTTTAGTGTAAAGCTTGGATTCCTTTCTCTTTACTTTTTGTGTATCTACTATAGGTTTTGTGTGTGTGAACCTTCACAGGTTGGTGAAGTTTTCAGCAATTATTTCTTTGAGTAAGTTTTCTGCCCCTTCTTTTCCTTCTGGCACCCCTATAATATAAATGTTAGTACTCCTGATGTATGGAGGTCCCTTAACCTATCCTCATTTTTTGAAAATTTTTCTTTTTGCTGTTCAGCTTGGGTGCTTTCCATTATCCTGACTTCCAGATTGCTGCTTTGTTCTTCTGCATCCTCTAATGTGCTGTTGATTCCCTCTAGTATATTTTCCATTTCAGTTATTGTATTCTTTAGCTTTGATTGGTTCTTTTTTCCATTTTCTGTGTTTTCACTGAAGTTCTCATAGAGTTCAGCCACTCCTCTTCCAAATCTGGTGAGCACCTTTATAAATATTACTCTCATTTCTTCATCAGGTACCTGCTTATCTGTTTGGTTTAGTTCTTTTTCTGATATTTTGTCTTGTTCTTTGTTTGGAACATATTCCTGTGTCTTCTAATTTTCTTTGATACTCTGTTTATTTCTGTGCATTAGTTGGTCAGCTATATCTCATGGTCTTGAAAGTAGTGGTCTTATGTAGAAGGCAATTCTGTGGGGCCCAGTAATGCTGTGCCCCCATTCGCCAGAACCAGGTGCTCCAGGGGTGTCCCTTGTGTTGGCTTTCTGTACCCTCCTGTTGTGATCAGATTGCAACTACTGTGAGCATAATGATGGCCAGAGATGGCCCATAGCCTGGCTGGCTGACAGACCAAGCTATAGCTTCTGTGCGCTTGCTGCTCAGTGGTGTAAGCTCCCAACACAGCTTTAAGAGAGGCTTAGCCACAATTACTGCAGGTTTGCTGGTGGGTGGGGCTGCCCCTTAGTATCCTCAGTGAAGAAATCACTTTTGTGGGGCACTGGTCCCAGGTGGGGTTGTCTTCTGGGTGTGGTGGTGTAGGACCTGCTTTGAAGGGCTGCCTGCTGGGGCAGGTCTGCCTGCTGGGGCAGGTCTGCAGGGGTTTGCCAAGAAGAGCAAGCAGTGTAGATGGAGAGTGGCAACATTGGCTACTACCAACATCTAGCTAGTTAGACTGAAAAAGGGCAAGAAAAATGAGGTCTGCCAAAACTTCCATTCCTGGAGAAAGCTTCTACCCTCCAGCACAAACATTGAGATTAGTCAATACATTTCTTCCTACATGTCCAGGTACTTTTCAAACTTCTGTCTCTGTACTGGGTCTCTGATTGAGTGATATTGTGTGCTGACCTTTTAGGAGCAGAGTCTCCATTTTCTATGGCCTGGCTCTCCTGGAGTTAATTCCTGCTGATTTTTCAAAGCCAGATTTTCTGAAGGCTTGTCTTCCTGGTATAGGTTCCTGTAACACGGGGTGTGTCAGGTGGGGCTTCACCCCCTCACACCTTAGGAAGGATCTCCTTGCCTTTGATATCTCTCCAGCCTGTAGTTGCCATGCTACGGGTTTGGTTCCTCCCACACCTCTACCCCTCCTACCCTTCTTGATATGGCTTCTTTATGTCTTTAGCTGTGTAAAATCTCCTTCTGCTAGTGTTCAGGTTGTTTTCGGGGTGAGTTGTATTATATGTCATTGTGGCCTCAGTGTGTCTGTGGGAGGAGATCAGTTTAGGATCCTCCTACTTTGCCATCTTTCCCTTCTCTTACTACTGGGCTGTATTATCTCACATTTTAACTTAAGAACAAAACAGCGTTTTATTCATTTTTATATCCCTAATGCTAAATATGGACACACAATAAATGTTTAAAAACATTTGTTCATTGAAAGGAAGTTATCAAGAAAGAAGAAAGGCATATATACAGTATGAATCACCTTAGCCTTCCTCCTATCTATAATGGATGGCTTATTAGATCACTAGACTCAAAGGCCCACTTTATCTGTTTTTTTTCTCCGTACAATCTCTAAACAAATGGCATTTCCTGTCTCTGAAATGTTTATAGTGCTCTTTTCAAAAGTCTCACAGTTCAAAGTCATTAATGAGTAGAACATATTTCCTAAAGATTTCTAAACACAGCAGTGTAACCACCAACATGAGGGTGACCTTTCATGTTGACCTAGTTTTTGTTCATTATAATTTTAGTTTATTCTCTTCAGCTAGATTCAATAATCAGATTTTACAAAGCACATAGCACATTTTTCTTAAACGACATAATTTTTTTTTCAGGATTGGTGATAGAAAATCAGAAATTAAGATTCTAAGCATTGGCGGAGGTGCAGGTATGAATAACACATTTTTAAAATTTGTATTTTACTCCAAACATCATGCTGTTTGATAGAAATATTTTTCATTCTTTAAGATAACTATTTTTCTTTGCTTTTGGAAGAGATTGGCTTATTAAAACTAGTAAGAGTAGTATCACTTCAACTAAGATTAAAGGCCCCCATAATTTTATAACACTTGAGATTTAAACCTTCTTTAGTATAGAAATATGGATAAGATGTAGCTTTTTATATTTATTTTTTTTAAGATTTTATTTATTTGACAGAGAGAGAGAATGAGAGAGAGAGAGTGCAAGCATGAGCAGGGGGAGCTATAGAGGGAGAAGCAGACTCCCCACTGAGCAGGGAGCCTGATAATGGGGCTCAATTCCAGGACCCCGGAATCATGGCCTGAGCCGAAGGCAGATGCTTACCTGACTGAGCCACCCACGTGCCCTGATGTGGCTTTTTAATACTTTTTTATAAATGGAAAAACACATAGAATAAATTTAAAGGTAACTTTTATCCAAAATCATTTAATTGTTCACAGTAGAGGAAAATTTCACAGGATATTCCTTATGCTTGTGCCACCTATGTGTGGTCCATGGACTGCTTGCTGGTTTGCAAACCGTTAATGGTCCAGGAGGAGATGAAGAAGCATGCACTAGAATGTAAATCAGTGCACAGCTCCCTTCATTGAGAAACTATCAATATGGGGGGAAAATATGTTTAATTTATACTCTTATGGCCCCACTCTGAGTTGCACTGGCCAAAACCTTTCCCTTCCTTGGATTCAGTTCCCAAATTGCCCTCTAACACACTCCCAAATCCACTTTTACAAGCACTTCATGGTCTCACTACTCTTAGATCTGTGCTTATATCCTAGGAGAAAATGGATGTCTGAAAAGGCAGATTGATGTGGGTGTAGTTTCTGACTCTGCCATTAGAGCTTCTGTTTACTCTTCAGTAAAATGGAAACAATTCTACCTCATAGGGTTGTAGTGAGAACTATACCGATAAAGTTTATATCATGCTTAGCACATTGTTACCACTCCTGTAAGGTACAGGCTGGTCCCTTCTTCAAAAATAAAACAAAAAATTTCATTTGCAGACTTCCCCTCATAACTCTTGAGTAGTGTTTGTTTTATTTTTAAGTTGCTGGTCACCTAGAGATCTGAGTTAATATATTCATATGTAAAGTATAGTTACATATATTACTTATATATTTATACCTTTCTTTCTTCCTTTGTTTCTTTTATTATTTTATTTTGATTAAGTGATGGCTTAGTATTGTTTACCACCTGGTAAGAAGTAGACACTACACTACAACATGTTATATAGTGTCAAGTGGTGATCTCTTGGGTTTCTCAAGTATAAGTGCTCTAGTGACATGTGAATAAGTTAAGTTGTGACCCATGTAAACACAAAGATAACTATGAGCCCTCTAATGGAATTAGAATCATTTGCTTTTAATGTAGTCATTTATTCATTTTTCATACAATATACTGTGATATGATGTAATGAGGGCTAACTATTTAAAATAATTTTTATTTATTATCATCTTCTACCAAGAAAATAGAAACCAGCAAGGACAAACAATGAAGGATACTGTCATGAACAATATTTTAGAGATTGTTTAAGTGAAATATCCTATCATTGCTTATTGACATTCTAAGTCCTAAGGATTATAAAAGTAAATTCATTTAGCCAAGACAGTTCTTTCCAGTGAGTTTTGCATATGAATTTCAGGCACCCAACAGGCAGTGAGACTATCATTTGATAGTGTCACTTGCGCTTGGACAAGAAGAGAAGCCCTACAAGGAAAAGTAATTAAAAACAATCTCTATCATGGCCAAGTTAATTGACCTTTTAATATAAAGTTAATTGAATTTCTAATGTAAATTTATCCAGATGCTTATAAGCTATCTAGAGAAAGGAACATTTGGCCTGCACAGTGATTCCTTACACAGAGGTGCACATAGGAGCTAATATAGAGAACTTATCAAAACAAAGGAAGCAACACTTGGAATTTTTCTGACTGAGCCCTAATATTGTATTAATAACAGGCTCTGCCTTGGGGAGAGAATATGGGTGCCCTTTAAGGTTACTCTTCATAAGAAATTGATCAGAAATATAAGAAGAACTCCAAGGGAAATTCAAGCTATAGATACTTAACATTCTCTGCTTAAGCAAATAAGCTATATGAAATAAAAACTGTTTTATTTAAAATTCCTAGGTCTAGATGTTCCTGCCATGAAAAAGCACTGCTTTATAGTGCGAGGACCCCATTTAGTTAGTTCGAATGCTCACATACCAACTGGGACATGCTTATTTGATAACCTATCATTGCCTAACTGCAAGCACTGGGCAGAAGAACAGTATATTACTATACAATGAGGAACTTCCTATCTTTTAGAGAAATGGTCTCTCCACATGTTCTACAATCTAAAGGATACCTGAGAGTTTTGCATTATCCTTTGACATCAGTATCCTTTCAAGTCAGTCACTGAACTCCAATCCATGGCAAACAAGGCCATTGGCCCTGTCTAGTACTTGTGCTTAGCTCCCATATTGTATCGTACAAGATTCTACTTCCTTCTTAGCTTATAGACCTGTCTGGTTTCACTGTGTAAATGTTCTCTTCCTGCTTGCCCAGATACCTGCAGATTATCTTCTGCATATCTTTGGTGCAAATATTTTCTCTACATACATAATGGTGCTACCACTTCTCCCCACTACAATGAAAAAAACAAGTAAAAGCAAAGAAACTAAAAATCTCTCTAAATGAAATTGCTACTTTTATCACTGAATACTCATGCTCTTTGTCAGCCTATTTGGTTTTCTTTTCAGAAACATGGGCAGGGGAGTACTATGCACCCTTTCTGTCTCCTGCTTCTCTTCTGTAGAGGTTGGTGACATGCTTTAATGAAACACAAAGCAACTGGATTTGCTTTTATTCAAGGTCTTGAAGTACTGATACCTTGTTCATTTTAGCAATTGTTTTTAGATACTGAGAACAATTGCATTGTATTCTAAGTCTCATAGAATATGTTATTTTGGTTCACTCTGAATACTGATGCTTGAGCCACTCAATGGGGTTTCATTATTATTTGATTTTTAATGAATATTGTCTTTATGGTAGATAGTACATGAAGAAAAAAATATTCTTTTTGGTAAAGGAGAATGCTAGTAATTTACACTGCATACATTTATGCCTGGAAAAATGTTCCAGAATGCTGTAATGGGCAATGTGTTCTCCTTGCTCTGGGCTCTGCTTAAAGGAAAACCTGCTGTACTATTCAATCCTGATGTTCAAATGCCAGAAAGCTTTATAACGATTAGATAAGATGATAACAAATAATTTCATTTTATCCAATCTTTTTACTTCTATTTTTATTAACCTTTTATGTACTGACTCAACTGCCATAATATATATAATGGTATATATGTTTACAGATAATTTTTAAAGATTTATTTATTTTATAGAGAGAGAGTGGGGGAAGGATAGAGGGAGAGGGAGAGAGAGAATCCTCAAGCAGACTCCCTGCTAAGCACAGAGCCCCATGCAAAGCTCAATCCTAGGACCCTGAGATCATGAACTGAGCTGAAATCAAGAGTCAGAAGCTTAACCAACTGAGCCCCCGGGTGCCCCTATAGATAATCTTTGATCAACTGAAGCAACTCACATATGAAATATAGGTAGTATGAAACCTCTCATGACATCTTTTTGGTAATAATTTTGTTGACATAATGCTGAGAGCAATTAGGTGATTTTCTTGTTCTACAACAACACACAGACATCAGCATTCCTACTGAGGTTAAAAAATAGAAAAGAGTTTAGAAACCATCAACATCTCATTTTACAAATAAGAAGCCCGAGAATCACCAAAGCAGAACAAAAGGCAGGTCTCTTGACTTTACTCCAGTTCAACAGATTTTATGAAACAAATATAAAAGTTAATTATTGACTTGGGAAACAAGATATTAGGTACTTAGTAATAACCAGATATTTGAAAATCTAATCTTTTATATATTAACTCTGTCTCTGTTCATAATGACATGTTAAGGTGAAACAGAAGTTTTACTTTCTAAGCTAGTTGGATAGAAGGGAAGGAAATGTAATTAGGGCAGGAACAAAAAGAGCCAGTGTGTTAAGTTTAGAAGCAAGGAGGTGGTAGGAACTAAAGGTTAATGTTTTTCAGTCATCCAGAGTAAGCCAACCATTTATATCAGCAAACTGGGAATGACTGGAGAAATACAGAAAATGAGGGGATTTTTTTTTTTTTTTAAGCCCGGTGCGTGGTGGGGGGGATTGAATGTGGTTGTTCCCATCCTCAGATATTTCCTGTTGATCAAACTACAGAATATCTACCCCCTAAAGAACCAATGGTTGTAAGAGAGAAAGATTTCTTGAGCCAATATTAAAATTTACTGAACAAACTTGTCCAGAATGAAAGTACACATCTTGAGATAAGGTGTTATCTGTGGCTCAAGGAGTAAGCATAGGCTAAAAAATATTGCTCAGACATGCTGTGGAAAGGACTTAGGCACTGATTTCTTGGATGCTGGGGGCATTAAAGGTGCTTTTGGTCCAAAAAATCTATGGTTTCATGAGTAACCTTCTAGAAAGTGGTAGACATTTCTCCAGAGTGGTATGGCTAATACCATGTTTGGCTCTACTGAGGAAGTGGAGTTTAAATGGGACTTCTAGACATGCACGTAATTTTAATCTGTAATGCTTATAAATTGAAATGAGTAAGTACTGTTTTACTCAAGTGCAGCATACTAGTAGATATTCTATGATATGGACTCTACTGATTAATTTACAGAATTTAGGACTGTCTGCTTTGGATAATCATAGTTTGGGGCCTCAGATATTGTTAAAGGTATTCATAACCATATTATTAAAACTACATATAATTTTAACAAAATAGTTCACCACATTGTATTTAAAACTTTCAAGTGAAATGGAAGCATTATTAACAATAACTGCATTACCAATTTGAGAGAAGCAAGCA